ATTATTACGAACATTAAGCATCAATATCGTCGTCAGATACGTAGCGTCGCTGCAATACAGCTAAGGGTAGCTGTACCGTATCATTCATCCAATGGACAGACCTGTAAGTTGTGATATTGTAAATTGTTAAAGTCGCGTCATAGTACGAACTGAGTAAATGGATAGTCACGAAGCTGCCAATAAAACATCATAATTTTAACATTAGAATAAGCTTACTTTAAGCGCGTCATGGTACGAAAAGTCAATGTATAGTTAAAGTAATATTATTTTAAGAGGTTGTGGGAGGCCCCCAGAACCAATTTAGAAAGGTTTTCCTAAATTCATCCTACCGGGTATGAAATCCGAAACCTTATCTAGTGCCCGAAGTATTAATTGTACCACACTGATCGCATTAGATAAATATTCATAGGTAACAGTCAACATACAGGGTGTCCTAAAACTCAACGCTTGATCGTTAAACAAGATCTGATAAAAATATATCCATGTCACTTCACTAGGTGATAATAGGCATGTTTTTGAAAATGTCAAAAATCGATCACAAATTTTCTAATTTTCTAGTTTTTTTAACGTTATCTTATAATGACGGCGTTATTTGTTTTATTTGTGACTGCGATTAATAACACGGTTATTTGGAATTACGCTAAAAAATTAGAAAATTTGTGATCATGGTATCGGTAGTAATATGAGGTGTAGGGTATCGATTTTTAACACTGAAAAAATATAGCTATCATAATATTGCTTAACTAAGTGTTAATATTGCTTAACTAAGTGGTTTTTCTTTCATTATCATTATTTTTTGTCACTCTATCGACAAATAACTAAGATGATTTAAAATTAGCAGATTTGGGGCCCGGTACTCGCTGGATTACTAGCATTTTGAGGCACCCTATATAGAAAAGATACAAAATGCAGGCGCACAAAACAACACCACACTAAACAAAACTCTTGCTTTTTGAAACTTAATTTAATGACCATTGCCACGTTTACAATTTATGAACAACTTAAAAAAGTATGAATGCAAGACATACGATTCAAGATAACACATTATTACATAATATATTACGTGACTTAGTACATTCTCAGTTACGAATTTAATGCTCCGATAACCATTCGGCGAAATCTAAGTTGCAATGACACAATTTACTTTTGACAAACGCATACAAAACTTTAGGCGATAATCAAATCAATAATGCCAAACAAGTTTGTTCTACTGAGCTCTCTAAGAAAGAATTCGTCCAGAGAAGTACATTAATTAATGCGTTCCGGTTTGGAAGGGCAAGGGTGCTGGTGAAATTACAGGCACATGGGACTTATCAACTTATGGCTCAGGGTGACGAGCGCAGTGGCAGTGCCTCTCAGATCTTTGCGATATAGACCTCTGATTGGCGCTGAAACTGTCATGGATGGGCGTGTCGCTTACCACCAGGCGCACGACTTGTTCGTTCTATCACATTTAAAAAAAAATGTTTTCAGGACAAAAGTGTATAAGATTCTACCAAAGAAATTAGTTGAAAACTTTTTATAACATTTAACTTGAACATAATTTGTTTCATGAAATTCATATTGTTTTTATGACTTTCACATATAAAAACTCTATTAAACGGTTTTACTACACCAAAAGTATGAATTAAAACGTAAAATAAACCAGGAGGAAGACCGAGACGAAGTTATTTAGATTAGATAAAGGAAAAAGTTAACGTCGTGTCGTATGAGGAAATCATATCATCAAGTGCTAAACAGAGATGGTAGGCGATTACTCCACCTAGCCCTTAAATAAGAAGAAAGAATAAACCAAGTCAATATCCACTTCAAATTTTACAATAATGCCCTGTATCTAATATTTCTAGGAGAGCTGTGGTTAGTTACTAATTAAAACAATGGTTTTTCACAACCAAACACGAGGCAAGCAAGGTATCATTAAAATTTTTTGTTAATTGTAGACCTACTTAACTACATGTCGGTAGAAAATTATACCAACAGTGTCGCACTACGCATTCGTTTAACAAAGCCAAGCCGAACAATAGCACCGGATGGGATTTAGTGATGGGAAACATAGACCAACTGATTCAATTAATTGACATAGTGAGTCAAGCCTTATTGACTGTGGCATCACAGTACACAAGTTTAAAGCCTACATTAAAAATATTTGAATTGAAAAGTCATATTACAAAATTGAAGACTACTTGTTAGATAAAGATGTACGGAAAGACGACATGGCTCTACATTCCACACGAATTTGATTCAAAGTGTATTCCATAGCATTTAAGTTTATTTGAAAAGAGCAATCCCTAGAGTTTCTTGCTCGTTCTTCTCAGGGAAGTCAGCATAGTGAACGAGCATTAGCTTAAAAGTGACGTTTTCAATTGTAAATTTATTTTACCTATGGAATAAATGATTCGACTTAGACTTTCATTTGACTGTTTTGGAACACACATAATATTCCCTGACAGCGTCACGTTGCGTAGGTGCGACTGAACGGTTTTGATTATAAAATGAAATAGGGATTATTAGTGCAAGCATCGTAACAAGAAATTGAAGCACATCACAGGAGATTTAAGGATTTGTATCTCGCGGCTTTCAACTCATTAGTGTAGGTGTACTGTCTAACTGTTTACCGGTTAATACCATACGCGATACATATAACAGAAGTACAATTTAAAGTTCTGCTAGTATTAACTACACGAGTAAAACATGTTATCTTTATGCTAGCACACTGCACGTTATGTGAATGAACTACTGCTAAAAATAGGCCTCAAATTACAGGCTCAGTAGCTGTGATTGGTATAATACTATAGCCAACAGTGAAATAATGAATAACTGAATAAGGTTTGTAATGGGTCTAAAAAATTTGTCGATGAAATGGCTTTAATTGTAAAAACAAAAATAGTTGTTAATCAACGGGTAGCCCTCCTTTAAACAAATATAGTAAATGGCATGTGATTAAATTGATATTACTCAATTATTTATTCATATCGCAACAATCGATAATTACTGAAGGCTGTACTTTAAGAAGAAGAAATCATTTGATCGAGGTAATCGTACGTAGTAGCACTAACAATAAATAGTAAAATCAAGTATGTAACAAAAACCCTTGTTTTGTTCAATTGAGACATATTTACTCTATTCGTACATATAAAGTATCACCGTTTCTGAAACATATGGACTTCCTACGCTAAGGTCTGAAGTTCAAAGTGAAACCCAGCCATGACGAAAACAAATTGAAACACAAAGAAGAAGGAATGACGTCTGTGTGGCTGCAGAATTCAATAAACGTTGAATAACTGCAACAATTATAAATTATAATGTAATTAAATACCCAATATTATCGCATTGCCACTAACACCTATTTCAATTGTTATGAAATGTCGAATAATGACTCCTAATCACTTGCCTCGGTTTTAATTTCACTGTACGTCATGTACGGGCTATATTATGACAATGAATGTATTGCATTATACTGTCTATGTTTATAAACTCACTGCCTTCATTGAACTCTTAAAGACTTTTTCTTATACTTTTACATTCCAAAATCTATACAAATAAATACTTTTTTACTAGTACAAAATTTTTCAAGTCGTTTAAAAATTATATCTCATTGAATAGAACTCAAAAGAGCTAATCATTCGAATAATTAATTAGCACTAGTCGAGTCTCTTTCATTCGCTTTCGTTGCGTGGGAACACACACAACTGTTAAAATTACTTTCTTTAACTTGCGAGCAAAAATGTCGGACGAAAAAATACCTTTTCATACACCCTAAGTAGACACCCCTTATATAGCCTGGAATCACTATAACCTTCAACTTTTATAGAGTGTGATAGTCATTAGTATGCTTTTGTTTCATATTCTGGCAAAATTGTATTGTTTTACTCAAGTTGATAAAATAACAAAATTGTACGTAACTGTATTGCGGCAGAAAAATTACTTATTTTGTTGTTTGAAACAAAGAAGAAAACTGTTTCTATTATTTTATTTATTCACGATGTAATTTTTACACGGTATGTTCAGTTTCATATGAGACGTGTTTAGTTTATGTTTTTTTAATATCTCACTCAAACTCCGACGAAATGATGTTATGAAACATTATAGCAATAGCTTTAAGTGTTTATAATAGCAACGCATAGGTACACGCGTAAATGTAACACAATATCAATAGATGTCTAATAGGAAAACTGTCGGCCCAAGAATCGCTCCTTGCGACACGCCCGTTCCGACACATATCTACTATTGTAATACTGTGTTATTTTAATAAATATATTAACTCGAACTAGGGTACATAACAAAACAACATGAATATGCAAAGCGTACAGCCTGAACAAAACATTATAATCAACCGAACAGTAACACTACACTGTGAAACGCTTGTAAGGAGTACTAGACTCAGTTCAAATAGCCGTCAACGTGTTAAATTAGTTATTTTACGTATTTTTATTTTCTGTTTCTTTCGTTAAACGTGCCTCTTTTGTTTTAAACACTGATTAGATGCCTAGGCATTAGGATTGACTTAGAATCACAACTTTACCACACAAGGCTGTTCCTTTATGTTTCACCGGACACTGAGCTTCTTTTTAGTGTACTCCTGACCTCACACACGTACAAATGCCCGCAGTTACCTCAACTCTTGGCTTCCAACACCTTCGGCCTTCGGATGGTCTTCGGACTGCTGATAGATTGTCGATGGGCGGCGAACACTTACCCTAGTTCTCGCGTCTACCTCAACTCTCAATACGAAATGCTCTTAATGGATCACAAACTCAACTATAACTCCACACATCGGAGTGCCTAATATTATCACGGGAACTCGAACGGCTTTTATGTTGGCTAATGCATGGTGGTCGTCTTCATGTTGGTATCCTTGTATGTTAAGCCGTTTCGAGGTGTTCCACGTGATGTTACTTATCAAGAAGTTGAGAGCATCCCTTAAGGACATTCGGTGTGTGCGGCACGGCACGTGGGTATGGTGTGGTGGTGGGAGCGGGTTGTAACGTGGTTGTGGGCAGCAACGTGGGAGTCGTGCCCGGTGTGGGTGCGCGCGCTGTTCGAGGTGCCGCAGAGGGAGAACAGCGCTCCACGTGCGCCGCCACTCACGCGCTACGCTGCGCCCGACGGTACGCTCCTGCTGCTCACCGAGAACGGCACTCGGCTGATGACGCGCGCCGCCGCCGCCAGTCTCCTGCGCGCCGTCCTCCTCTCCCCGCGCCCCCCTCGGCCCCGCCATGGTGAGCCGCCGCACCACCCTCTCTTCATCTTCTCTCTCTCTATGTGTCTCTCTTCTGGCCCGAGAACACCCCACATAGCTTTGAGTCACGCGCTATTCGCAGATAGCAGTGCTGACCCAAGCCTATGTCGTACCGATGTGTTTTTGGGTCATTTCTTTGTCGGATTCCGTCGCCTTCCGCACTGCACGCTTCGCACTACGCTTCGTAAGGTAGGAGCGTCGCTTCATTAGCACTGAACCCTTCTCTCGATACCCTTATCACGGTCACGAATAAAAACCTACTTTGATCAGGAACTGCGTCGTACTTAAATAATATATCACTAGAAACATTTGAAGTCTATCACTATGAGTACGGAATCACGTTTTTAATTTTGTACTTAAAACATCGCTTTAACTTTCATCGTTTAACTTTGATGAAAGTTTTTTGAACGTCAGCAATTTACAAAGATATTTAAATTTCCCACGCATACAGAAACTAGGCAAATCTCTTTCACAATTTGAGAAATTAACTTTAGATAAATTAGCTGATTCAGCTTTGTCTTTTTATATATCGTTAGTGGATATTTAAAATTCGCTCCTACTTTATGCCTGCATGCTTTTAGATATCTGTTTTTTCCCTTTTCCACATTTTTACCACTCTAGACTTTCATTAAATTTAAAATGAAAGCCTAAAATGGATTCTTCTCTTGGTATGTGCATGTGCATGTTTACTTTCTGCATCTGTTTTCTACGATCTCTATGGTTACTGCGCGGCATAGACTTGGCTTTGACGAATAGTTCGATCGGGACTACGAGTCGAAGGCTTTGCTATTCTAATTTCCTGACCGGGGCTAAGTACTTTCTTAAATTTCATTATCAAAAATTTTACTTTTTGCAAGATAAATGTCGTAAAGTCGGTATCGATGTGGATTGTTTGGTTTGTCGTGTTAACTTTGCCGTTATAGGGTAAATTATTCGATGTTATTAACCGATCCGGCGCGATCGATTCTGATTGCTAATTCGGAGTCCCGTCGCGCTATGGCTCGGTGGTCGGTGCCACAGCTAAGCGATTCGATGGATGCCATTCCAGTAAAGCTGATGTCCGACGGAAGGAACGCGAATCGGAACGCCACCGGCGTGACGTCATGGATTGGCGGTATGTCCATAACACAGGACGGGAACCTGATCGCACCGGACAAAATAATGACGCATGTACATCGATACGCGAGTCCTCACTACAACCCCCATGGACATCATTATCATCGGTGGAACCATGAACCAGGGGGGAGTGAAGACCCCCTGTACGCGACCAAGACCGTCTACGGAGCCGGATACATTGATGAAAATCGTACGTATGGTTCATATCATTAGGACGTTGACGAATCTCTCAGCTCACATAGAATCTATTAGACCTTCTTGCATGATAGAAACAATAATAGTTCGAAGATGAAAATAATATAGAATAGAAAAGGACAAAAGATTTAATAGGCAGCACAAATGAGCAAAACATCTGAACACAACTCTAGCTAAAACGGAGAGATTAGTTGACGTCTAGTGAAATAGGTGTAATTTAAATTATTACACATGATAACAAACAATATTTAACCATAGATATCGTAAGTTACACTCACTTTTCCAGCTTAATCTGTACAGTTGACAAGACAATGTACAAGACCATTCACGAGTGGTTTGATCGTTCGTTCTAATAGCACATATACTTACTCTCAGTGCTGTTCCCAGATTCCTCTTTATTTTAACCCCAGTACTGAGCACTTTCTAGTTGTCTAGATGGATCACTTTTGAGACTAGTCTGGATTTGGGTTTTGAAAAGCAGAAAGTGCTTAAATTTTAAAGAGAAACACGGTGAAGCTTTGCGTAGAGTTTTAACTTAGGATTCTCTTAGTAAATGCTTTAGAGCCCTTGAAATCTGCTTCCCTTCCCTCAATCCACTGTAAAACATTAGAAGGTTTAGTGTAAGTTTAAAAAAAAATGTTTAGTGAAAGCTTACCACGAAAATCTCTGCGACGCTTTGCAATTTTGCTACCGTCCCAAAATTCATTTTCTCGTGGATTTTTGTGGGATCCCGGCGTTCGTAACAGTCTATAAAATGGAAAAATATTTTGATGGAATATGCAACGTCGATGGCAAAATGGCAATGGTAAAGATTTGTCGAAACTGTGATCACAGGATTCCATCATTTTGTCAACGATGCTTTTGAATCAACAAACCCTTTGAATTTACCGAGGCGATTTTTTTACGTATTTATGAATACAAAATTTTATACATTTTAGCATGTCCAAAGTAATAATTGAGAATTTGCTTGTATTTTTCAAAGTCGTACATTAATTATTTTGTCATTTACATAAAAGTCATTGGCAAATATCATCATGTATCTTGATACTAAATTTTAATTTTAATCACACGTTGTGTAAGTTATTATAACACAATTTGTAAATTATATTATTGTCTTGGCATGAGCAAATTTGTATTTTATGATAATCACATTTAATATTGTCTGATATTTTTACTATAATTTTGGTTTTTTTATTTGAAGTCCATTATAAGATTAATTTCTTTACTTTACCTATATTTTTTGTTTTATCGTGGAAGTGTTATCGAGATTATATTTACGTTTTCTTTTAAAGCTTTATATGTATTTTATATATTATTGTTTTTTAAAAGTCGTTTCCGATAAGGAATAGTACGAAAGAATCGCATAAAATTTATTGGTATAAGTGACTGTATTTCTACATTGTATCCAATTGTAAAATAATAATGTTCAGCATCTATGAAAATTCTACTTGTAACTTCGTATATTTTTGTAAACAACAAATATTTTATGTAATAGAATATGATCGAAATCGTCAATCGATATTGCCAATTAATATTCAATTTACGTGTTCATTAATCTATGACGTTACGTAACTGAGTAATGACATAGTATAAGACAAATATGATAACTCCATACAAACGTAGTAGCGCGGTTTGTGTGTTTGTGTTCGTATAATAATGAAAGGCGCGTGAGACGCCAAGAAATTATGCGAATGTGTGCGTCCGTACACGGCGCGGCAGGCATGCACACATACATATTAGCCGCGCTGTTGCGTATGAATAGAGCTACGATACTTGTCTTTATTATACTATTGTAATGCTAATGGGGAAATCTAAATATAATAATAACGTGTTTAATCTTATTGATAATTATTAATTACACATTACTGTACGCGTATCGAAACATAAACATTATTAACAGTATTTGTCATACTTAACACAAAATTCATAATATATTGGAAACTGTCAATGTGTGAATTTGGAAGTGTTTAGAAAGAGCGTTAGACACAAAAAATGTAAACAAAATCGACAGGATATAAATAATACTTAACTTATTATTATTATTATAACGTATTTATTTGATACCCAATTATATTTATAAAAGATGCTTACGTGGGAGTGAGTAAATATCTTTATTATCTCATAAGCAACTGTTTCTAGGAAGACAGCCTAAAATTAATCACCTATACTATACATTTTTATTGAGTAGGTATTACCATCTTGTGCAGATTTGCAAGTGTTTTTACGTCGTCTATAGTATAGTCGCCTAGACAGTCGATGGTTGGGTGGATGACTGGGTGGCCAAGTATTTATTCTAAGCAAGATTGCTTTAATCTTTTATAAATACTGTTATACTTTCTAAACACCTCAAAGAACCACCATCAACATTCTAAAACATAATTTCCTCATCAATGAAAAACAAAGAAACAATTGGCAAATATTTTATGACAAATACTTCCTTTTTCCAAACAAACTCTAAACATAATCACTAACAAATACACAAAACCAACAGAGAGGATTGGCAAAGAGAACGGTAAATCAGGTGACGAGAAGGTGGCTCTTCAATCCACATGCCACGTGGCCTTGGAATCCTGCATCAAGGACAAGGAATGCGACTTCTCGCTGACTCCCGTGCTGCAGAAATGTCATACTACCGACTGCGACAGAGAAGGGTGCATGGAAGCGCTGAGAGGGTTCTACAGGAAATCTGGTGTCCATTGGAATACTGAGATCGCTTTTTGTCTTTGCAAGTAAGTAAACCAATTTATCTGTTAAGAGTAGATATAACCTCAAATGGCTTTGGTTTTTAGGCATAACAGCGAAAGTGTTGAATCAATCACTTGGGAAAAAATATATAGTAATTGAGCATATACACTGATTAGTATACGGTGTGAAAACACAATTCCTACAAATTTTCACTATGGAAAAAAA